TTGGAAGGTCCATGACCGTGCACATCTTTTGTTTTGCGCTCATACACTATGCATGAATTACGTAACGGAAACGTTTCTATTGGTTAGTTGTTTGAACACACGCAACCACCTATTGTATTTTGTCAGGTTTTGTGCACGGTCAACCCCCAAAATAGCGAACAAAAACATATAACAAAGAACTTTGCCGGGCTTCATAACCATTTCCCTCTATTAACTATGGTTTGAGAGACGTCTAAGATTCAACCCAAAAATTCCATACTGATGACGTAGCACAGAGATCCATGTAGTGTCTCTGATTGGTTGTTGTATGGGGTTAAATTTTCGCGCGCAACCAACAACCAATCAGAGACACTGCACGGATTTATAAAGATCAACGTCATCAGTATGGAATGTTTCAAGTAGAATCTCAGAAGTCTCTCGCGCGGTGGAAGAATTGAGCGCGCGAAGAGTGACGTCCTCGTGACGTCCTCGTGACGTCCTCGTGACGTCCTCGTGACGTCCTCGTGCTAAATCAAAACAACAAAAGTCAGTAAACAAAACAATCATGCTCGGCTAATGTTGCTCATCTTGTAAGGCTCAGTCATCAAACCTGCGCGTCTGTTTTCAGTTCTTTCGTCCGAATTTATGTCTTTGTTGTTAAACTGGGCACTTGAGAGTTTTGAAGGTGCGTGGATGATTCTCTTTAACTGAAGAACGAGATTTTTGCACGTATTTCGGAAATAGAGTACCAAAGTTATGATGTCACACAAATTAAGTTTGCGAAATTATGAAATTTTATCAGCTATTCGGGGGAAGCATGCCAAAAAAACGTCCACTTGCCAAATATTAGCTCTCCATTGCAATTTGCGGCCGAGATATGGGCACGTCAGGTTTTAATTTCTCCATTTTTGCGTCTGTTCCTTCAGTTTAGAACCGGCGCAAAATTAGAGAGGTTTGTATGAAACGGTACCAAACTTTGAACCTCATATCTTCTGTTCTATTCGTCGGCTAACAAGTTGAAATTTCGTGGCGGATCATACAGCAGCAATCTTATCTGATGATGGGATTTTGAGGCTTGATAAAAATAATTTGAAAATTTGTGAAGTCACACTTTATTGAGATATTAACACGTATTGCGGACCTATTTAGCAGTGCGACACAACTGTATCACGATTCAGGACATTTCTAACTCGTGTTTTCTTATCATTTTTTGTGATTATTTATTTTGTTTGATATCGTGTACATATTAGAAATGACGGTGAAGCGTATTTGTAAGTAGTTCAAATCCATTGATAGAGGATATCAACTCATGTGGAAATAAAATATCGAGTATTCTAAAAGCTCTGTTGTCGTATTTCCTATTATGTGAGTTCTACTGTCCAACTCGAAAGAACGGGCGGGAAATTTGCCTGTGCATACGCGCCGTTTCAGCCGTCTTCTCCGTCGCTTAGCGACAGAGGAGAGGAGACGGCTGAAATTCAGGCTGCGCCGTGGCAGCCACCAGAATAAATCCTTCGGCCCAAAGGATATATTCTGGTGGCTGTCGACGGGTCAACACAATACAATACAATGTCGGTATTGTCAGTGTAATCCGTTGAAATTTTCTGTGAACTTTGGTCATCAGTCACACTGAGGCAAATTTCCCGCCCGGTACTCGCTACCGATTGGTTCATATTGGTTTATTGCGTGCAGATGCGTCGAACCATTCTCGTCCCCAGAGTCCGCGATCCTTTTGGTCAGCACCAAGAATCTCCGACTCTGGCGGGTACAGATAGAACGAATTTTTTGATTGGCTGTTAAAACAATGAACAGACAAAAGACAAGAGAAAATGAGTACTCTGCGCAAGCTCAGAAAATCGGTACCAGCCTGAGAGGTCGTGATTTCTTGGTGCTGACCAAAAGGATCGCGGACTCTAGGGACGAGAATGCGTCGAACCGTGAAACACTGATGAATTATATGAGTCGCTATAGAATGGTTGAGAAGCTGAGATATGTACGTGCATCTAATGCGTATTCCGCCTCAATAACCGCGAAATCTTCTTTCGTAGACTCCAAATTAAAGTCTCCGACCACGCAATGGCGTCATAAAATTACCATAATGAAACATGGCGGCGCGCGGGATATTTAAACAGAAAACCGAACACTTCGCATTCGAACCAGTTACGGAAATATCGACTTAAAACCCCAAGAATAGTTAAACAGAACCATTAAGTATACGTTGGAGCTAAAACTGTTTTTCAGCCGAGATTCCCTTTAAGAGAAATGTTTTACGTGTTCAAAAGAAGAAGAAGAAAAAAAACTAGAAGGCGGAAGATCGCATGCAGGACTGCAGCTTTAGAAGTTTTGCCGACAAAGCCTTTCAAATGTGAATGTGCTATGCACTTACCGGTTCCAAATCTCGTAAGGTTTTGTATTTTTGAAAATCATTATTTTACATTCTTTTGTCTTTGTCTATTTCGGATTTATATTCACGCAAGTGGGTCGTGAATTCCGGTTACGGGTAATATGAAGCGTGATTACGAATTACAAACACTTTATCCGCATATTTTGCTAATGAATTGATGTAAATGTAAATTTTAGTTGATAAAGTTGTCATAAAGTGATTAAAGTATTATATGCCAATGAAAGATAGCATGATACAATCTTGACCAATGTTAATTGTATATAAAGCGACAAGAAAATAAGCGATTCAACGCAACTAAATAAATTAGGAAGTGAAAAACGCACGAAAACTATCTGATGAACACGAAGCGAGGAAACTCTCGAGTCAGTTAATGGAGGAAAGATGAATCGCACCACAGTCAACAGCACAACACACAGTTGTGGTTTCGCATTTCTTCCTCTAAATCCCCAAAGGATTTCTCCTGGTCATCGGGCTGTATTCATTTCCAGAATCGCCGTTAACGCTCTCACCTGTCCTCTCATCATTTTGTTGAACATCCTGGTGATGGTGGCAGTGAAAACCAAACGGCAGCTTCGCACCAAGTCTAACGTAGCTCTCGCCTGTTTAGCCACAACTGACCTCGTGGTCGGACTAGTTGTTCAACCTTTACAAATCGCCAGCGAAAGTTTAATTTTCCATGGTCAAGCTAACATGTTTTGTACCCTAATGGATGTATCATTAAAAATTGCCGTGAGGTGTTTGCCGGCGTCACTTTATCATTTGTTTTTAGTGAGCGCAGAACGTTATATCGCGATAAAACACACCTTCGCGTACGACAACCTGGTCACTGAACTTCGTATCATCATAGCTTCTGGTCTGGTGTGGGCTGCAGCGATCCTCTTTCCTGTGGAAGTACTCATGGCGACACAAAATCTCTATATTATGACATTAGCAGCGTTACCAGTGCTTATCTCATTCCCCGCAATGGTTTACTTTAATGTTGCTGTATACAAGGAAGTCCGCCGGAACGAAAAACAAATTGCTGCTAACCAAGTTTCCTTAGAAGCGAAGGAGAAGATACTCAACAACAAGAAAGCTTTCTACACAACGGTTATTGTACTACTCGTAATTTTCCTTTCTCATATCATAGCAAACCTGTGTCTTGTTATTCTGATTTCTTTTGAAGACATTATCCCTGCTAATGTAGGACATGTTGCTTTCTGCGTTGTTACTTTATTGCCAATACTGAGTTCGTTATGTAATCCTCTGATTTACGCTGTGAGAATAAGATATTTTCGCGTAGCTTTCATTCAGTTGTTGTCACGAAAAACTATTGCACAAACTGAGGAACTTGAAAGGAAAATATTTGGACCAAGGCAAGTTGGAGTCATAGCTACTGCTGAACAAGGACAAAGAAGGGCTTGCCGAGAAGAAAATGTGCAATGAGACATTGAACAATGAACACGATACAGCCACGAGAAGAAACAGCTTTGTAAAGACACTCGTAACTGTTTTCATTTGAAAATGTCATCGTTTCCAGGAAAATCCATCAAAGGTTCAGTCCATAAGATTGTTTTCCTGTAAATTTTATTCGCCCATACGAAACACGAGGAAAACAGAGACAACATAAACAAGTGGATATGGCCTATAAAGAGAAAGATGAGGAAAAAATCATGTCGGATAATTATAGGCTTTTAGTATAGGGATAGCGGCGGGGGGAGGAAGAATACTCAGGCTACACGCATACATGTGATTATATACCAAATTAGTATTCAGACATCGGGTGGTCTTTGACAAAAGGATCGGAAATGTCAAAACGATCACGTTGATTGAAAATGTGTTAATTAGGTAATTTTCGGAAATCTTCGGATATAGAGCGCTCTCATTTCATCGCTCCATAATTCCCAGCCCTCGGCTTTGGCCTCCACGAAACCCAAACTGAAGAGAGCCTAGCTTGTTTCAATTCTTGTAGGCTATAATTAATTTTGAAGTATGCTGAACCCTTTTCATCGGAGTGATAATAAAAGTAAGGGTAGAAAAACATGCAAAACTAAAAAAAAAGTCCAAATAAACTGAATCCCAGTTGGTGATAAAATCTCCACCAGGATTCGAAAATTTACCAATAGAAATCACTTTGTAACCTTTCGCTTCTAGCTCGACGACTAATGGAAAGAGGTGGAATGTTTCTAATCTACGGACTTGGCGATACCCAGACCCCTCTCCTCAGTCGCAAGTGCCTCATTCTACAGACTCATGATGCGAAAGGCTACCTTCGGTCGACGAGGTGCAATGGTGGCTATGGAAACCAAAGGAGCACTGCAATAATGTAGAATAATTAATTGTTATAGTGAATTGAATTCGTTTCAATCGGATCATATGGATCTCATATCTTATAGACTGCAAAACAGTACGTATTTTAATGCGAGTGTCGCTTCACGCCTCAATTTGTGCGTCATGCACAATATCTCGAGAAAAAGAGAGACTGTTTTTGCAGTCTACATATCTTATGGGCAGTCGTATTTATGTGTTACATTTGTAAAATTCTACCCGTCGGATATGTTTCCCTGGAAATAATGGTCTGTGCTTTTGCAATGTGTTTAGTATTTTTACTATTGAAGTTTCCGATCTCTACAACCAGGTCTTTGTAGTGTAGTGGTTATCACGTCCGCCTCACAATCCAACGGGGTTCGCGGAAGGTCGCAGGTTCAAGCCCTGCCAAAGACATGTGATTTTTTTTTCCTTTTTTTCTCCTCATTCCTAAAAATAATGTTACTTTAAACATGTACTCTGATCAGGTTTCCTCGAAATATTTTTTACAGCGACTGAAGCATAATATTTTTCATATACTGTAGGTCCTAGTAGGAAACTGAACGACCCTGAACACCCTGTTAGTTAGTTATCAGAATATCCAAATGTAATCCATTTCTGCCTGCCTTAGTTGGCTTTGCCCTCTAACTGTACCGAGTTTGTAATAAACGCCTATTCGAGTAAATTTATTAACACTATTCCAGGGATAAATGTGGCGGGGATGGGGCTGAAAAAGGGCGAGCCTGTAGAGACCTGCTTCCCCAGCTCGCTTCGCTCGCCCCCACCACGGAGCCTGGATAAACGAAGGGTTAAATTTTAACAATATGGACGACTTTTCCATGACAGATTTTAATTCTCTCTCGAGGATCTCAGCGGTCTGACTGCTAAATCAGGGGGGGGGGGGGGGGGCGCTTCTACCGCCCTGGCTAAATACAGATGACGCGCGATCAAAAGCGCGATCCAGCGGATACACGGACCGCTGTCTCGAGCACAAACGCGAAGAAATGTCGTCAATTTTCAACAGACATTGCATGTTCCTCACTAACTGCGTTGTAATATGAAAGGAATCAAACATCAGCAGCGGATTTAAAGGCTTTGTAAGTTCTTCAAAGAGCTTGGTTTGCTGCTGTTGTTTGTACTTGCAGTTCTTCGAAATGTTGCACGCGCCATTTGCAATATTTGGGCGGCTGAACTGCATGCCGTATCTCTTCATTTAGGCCCCGTCCATACTAATACGTTTTCGAAACGCTCCGTTTTACCGAAAACGCATCAAAAGCTCCGCGTCCACACTATAGTTTTCGCAGCGTTTTCCCCGTCCACACTAAAACGCTCGAGAACACTACAACAGTCATCTGCGCATGCGACAAATAGAAGCGCCCGCAATGTTTGCATTTTCCGACTTACCGTTTCGTTGACCACGTGACCAAAAGAAATGGAGGCTCTTGCGAACGAGAATGTGATGTTTGTGATGTGAATTTCGTAAGTGTTTTTCGAAAGCCTCCGTTTTCGCTATCCACACTAATACGATAGCCGTTTTCAAATGTCTCCACTCTGAACAGTTTTTTTAAAAGAATGCGTTTCCGATTGAGACGCTCAGCGTTTGCGATCGTTGTCGTGTGGACGATAGGCGAAAACGCATCGAAAAGTATATGTTTTCAAACGAAAACGCATTAGTGTGCACAGGATCTATTTCGTCACCACTGCCACAGGAATCCCATGAGATTGCATCACGTGCTAATCGCTTCGCGAATGGCAGCAAAATCTTTGCTGAATGAAAATTGAACATTTATTCGTGAACTACGCTCAAACTTCTCCAGAAATTAGAAATAGGGAATTACTTTTGGAGTCGGGAGATGAGCGCTCACAACACGGAAGACACAAATGCCAATGCAAATTGTTACCAGAGCGACTCGTCCGATATGTCGAGCGTTTACGAGGACTACAAGTTTGTTCAAGCGTAGATAGCTCAAACAGAAGCACTCAACAGTCTTAGAGAAGACATTCTCTTGAAAACAGATCCAGTTGCGGGTGATGACGAACCAGAAGCGGATGAGGCACATGATTTAAGACGGTGAGGCGGGGGACTTATAAGCGGTATAGAAAGACGTGTTTTGAGCTGATAAGAAAGAGTTAAAGGCTTACTTTTGGTGCGGACTTGAGGTGTGTAAGCCTCTTGGGGTGTTACGTCCGCGTCCACGGTTGCCAGCTTGAACATTATTTTTTTCTTTATATGGAACTGGCGGGGATGCTCGTTGTACCTTTTGTTCCATTGCAAATTTTCACAGTTTTAATACTACATATGATTATATGGCTTATAATATACTCAACAAAAGCTTCACGCTTTCGCGCGCCTCCCACGCTCTCGGAAAGGAAACGACTGCTACGCAGGCTAAGTCTTTTATGTTTCTACGAACATTGCAAACGTCGTACAATGTTTTATATGACAGTTGATCAAGGGACGTTCGACAAAATGTCTGGGGTTCGCGGCAGACGTTTCCTTTCCTGCCTCACCCCGCCCCCCCCCCCCCCCCCGGCTCCCGCTTTTTTTCCCCGCTCGCGCTTTCGCGCGCCTCCCACGCTCTCGGAAAGGAAACGACTGCTACTCAGGCTAAGTCTTTTATGTTTCTACGAACATTGCAAGATGCGGCTTTCGAATTTCGGGTGAATCTACATACACGCCAACTGGTCGGCCCTCATGTTACGTGACTTTTAATACGTACATGTTGACAAACTGTTGACAGCTCTCGATTAGAAATCTGATCAATGGCGAGAATCGTTTTCAGTGGCGGATCCAGGGGGGGGGGGGGACCTGTGGGGTTTTTTGTTTTTTGCTTTCACCATTATCCATAGCAAGGATCTCCAGGATCCACCAAAATGCACTTTTCAGAGCCTGAAATCTCAAATCTTTTCTGGGGAGGCCCCCCAAACACCCCACATTGGAGGGGAGCGATCCCATTCGTCCCTTGTAGAAGCGTTTAGTAATAACTATTGGCTACTTCCAAAAAATCTCCTTCTACGTACTTCACATTTTCGGGAAAACCCTGGGACCCCCCCTATCAAAAATTCCTGGATCCGCCCCTGGTTTTTTCTGATTTTAATAATCTTTAGAAGCAATCTTTTTTCGTGAAAAGGTCTTGATGTAATCTATCTGAAGATAACAAAAAGTAAAATCTTGCAAAATGATCAAATTTGGGGTATACTGTACCTTAAAATGCTTTTATTACACTTTTTGAAAACAGTATATCAAATTCCCCGACACGATTTTGGCAGTCAACATCTGCTAGTATCATGCATTAGTATAATTTTCAGTGGTGAATATGAGCATATTCACCGCGCTAGAGGGTGAATACGGGATTTCAAGGCGTGGCTGCTAAGCTAAGCCACATTTCTCGTATAGATCCATAATTTGTGGGAAATCTATTGTTTCGCGGAAAACAGTTTATTTCGAAACTGCTAGTTTGCACAAATTTTCTCTGCGCGCCACACCGGCAAGTAAAGATGGCGACTCGTGAATGAAATTTTCGTGTATTCTAAAGACAATGACATCACTCCAAGTTCGGATATTCAAAGCATTGGGAGCTTAGGTAAATGACTACCAAGACGTTTGGACGGAAAATATTTTCAAGAAACGATTTTTAACGCATTTAAAACTCGTAAACTTGTAAAAGTTTTTGTGTGGCCAACCAAGGCGGCCGTGTTCGTGTCGGATGGAGTGACAGAAATTTGCTTCTCTTCAGACCTAAGCTACTTATTTCAGAACGATAACTACAGCTGCTCATGAAATCAGCAACGATCAAACAAAGGTACCTGATGAATAGTGTCCTTTTGTGTATTTTACTGCTTAATTTGATGTGTAAACGATGTAACTACGGTAATATGGCGAGTACTTGCGTGTGTTGTTTTTCAAGTTTTTAATCTCGTACCCAGATCACCCTCTACCACGCGAAAGGGAGATCTGGTAAAGTTCGATTTACGCCTTCCCGTTGTTCTTAAAGGGCACTGTCACAAGGACGCATGCGCCAGTCTCGCGAGTCGAACTTGAAAAGGTTAGGCTAACTTTTTCAAGTTTGAGTTGCCAAATCCAAAATGGCGTCGACTAGTGGCGGCCGCGGACACGGTGGAAAGCGTAGTAATTCTGGGCGAAAAAGAATATTCAATACCCCGACAAGAGCCAAGAGAGAGTGGACAAAGCCCCATAGACGCATTTATCTTGAAGATAACAGTTTCAAAACATGGCTTGAAGCGAAATTCGTTGGCAGGTTACGAAGGATACAGTGATATGATACTGTCTTCGCGACACATTTGTTGTTGAGGAGACGAGTGATCGAAACAGATGTGACCTCAGCTGTGACCTCTCACGCGAAAACGTACAACACGGCTTTCCGTTCGAAAGGCTAAAAGCCGTTCACTACCCGAACGGTTAGCAAGCCGAACGGCTGCTACTACCCGTTCGAAATATGTTCGAACTGCTGCCGCTACCCGTTCGAAAAAAATCTTCACCTGTTCGAAGCTAAGCCAGGTTATCCGTTGAGAAAAAATATTGAGCCGTTCGAACGGCAACGGTTATCCGTTGAAAACTTATGTACGAATGGATAAATCTAAGCTTGGCTGTCAAAAGTGCGTTGCGTTACGGCAGTTGCAAAAATATTTTGTATGCAAATCATGTTTCGGAAATACGTATGCGAACAGCGCACGCTGTGGATATGACTTTATCTGTTTTACATAATCGTGATTAGAAACAAAATACATGCAAATATTTTCACTAACCGTCATTATGGAATGGCGGCCAAATAATTTATGGTCGACAGGAAGTGAGCAGTTTTCGCGCATGCGAATCCGTGACAGTGCCCCTTTAAACATGGAGACAGGGCTGAATAACGTCTGCGCATGCCCCAAGCGCTTGCCAGGAAACCATAGCAACAACATAGGTAAAATGGCGTGATTTTCAAAAATACGAAACACTGCAAAGGCTTTCGCCAAAGAATAAGAGTTTGCCTGTAAACTTAAGCTTTAAAATCTTGCAGTGGATCCGCCTGTTACTGAGTGAAAACATATCTTTTGAACACCAGGGTTTTTTTTCTGAACACACGCTGAAAAATAGCCACGAAGCGCCCCACGATGTCAGAGTCCGCGAAGATGCAGAAACGAAGCAGAAACGAAGCAGTACAATGATATACTCCCTGGCGAAAAATCTTCGATGTAAACATGAGCTATAGGAAACGTGGGTTTTGACTAAATAAAAGCAACTTACTTACAAAGAAGTAGTTCTTTGTCTTTAATTGCCATCTCAGCCGACTCTACATTCGGTATTAAGGATAAAACCACAGCTTTGTATCCAATTGATCGTCAGACTTTCGTTACGCTTTGGTAACCAAGCTTTTATTGAAATCGGAGGCCCGGATGCTAAGCTTGGTCTA